GTACCCGTCGGACTATCAATGCTGCAGGGCTCGGCCACGCTACAGCAGAGGAGGAAGCTGACAGCTCCCTCCTGTCAGCCCCTCTCCTCAGGCTGCGCCCGGGCGGTCATGGCACCCCCCATCCTGGTGGCACCCGGGGCGGACCGCCCCCCCCCCCCTTATTACGCCACTGCATAACACAATGTAACAGCGCTTTACTATCTAGTCATGAAATTATTATGCTGTGTCCAGAGCTAGTGTGTGAATGCAAGCTAAATTTAGGTTTAAGGATGAGTTTACGAGTATAGGCACATGCAATTAAAGTGCTGCAGAATTGGGACATGTGGTGCTATACGCTAGCTTAAATTCCATGCTAATGGAAGGTAAGTCCCTATATCCAGTTGTACTTTCCAACTTTATATTTTACTGAGCTTACTAGTTGCCAAACTATGCTTAGAGGACCAATCTTACTAGGTTAGAGGTACAATATGAGAGCTGCAGTCATGCTTGGGTTTTTCCACCTCAGGTTAACCCCCCAGCCGCCAGACAAAAGTCAGAGGTTTCTCGCTGTGGGCTCTTGACATGAGCACAGTCGCCTTGTCGGCCTCTGCTTAAGAACCCCCACCAAATACCCCAATCCCCAATAAAGCACAGACACCATGGTTTTGACAAAATTATATCACAGCTTTATTTGTAATTAACATAAATTTAAAGGTCATTGTCAACAGCAGGCCAACGTTGGCCTGCACAATTAACATCCTGCATTTACAATTAACCCCTTGACAATGACCCACCCCCACATAACATAACACCCAAACATTGAACATTTTATTTAACATGAACATGACCATTGCCACCAAAGGGCACCATCCATGGACACCACAAGTGTAGGGGCATACCGAGACACCCCATGCACACCCCGGTTCAGAGCTACCTATGAGCTTGAACCTACCAAACCAGTCCAAAGGCCTACCTATTAGCCCTGAACACCAAACTTTTTCCCCATCTCACTCTTTTCTCCCCCCAACTTTACTCTCCATCCCCCGCCGCCGTGACCAAACGGGAAACACCTGAAAGCAATGGGAGGGTGGGTGGGACAAAAAGCAGGTAGTGTAACTTAGATTAAAGTGATCCTTGGATCTAAAATGGCCACTACTTATACTCCCCTTGAAACTCCACCCCAGCATTACCAGTGACCAAACCCTGACCCCCTGACCTTTAGATGGCCTGTCTCCTGGCAATGTCAAGACCCACTCCCCTTAGCTACGCTGCTCCATGGGCTACAGTCTGTGAAGTATGTGGGCAGCAGAGGGACAGGAGCCAAGGTATTGCCCTGTCAGGCAAAGTCCAGGCAAGTGGCTTGGTGACAGTCCCCACGATGTGTACTTGCGATTTGTAGTCCTGTGCTTGCCTCTGGTGGAAGCTAGGACCCTGCAGGTCCGAGCCTGTCTGCTGTCGGTCCGAGTGTGTCGGCCTCCGTGTGTTGCTCTGAGAGGCTCAGCATACAGGGCTTCGTCGCTGGGGGAGCTCCTTCTGCGAGCTTGCTTAGGTGGTCTGGACTGAAAGATCGTTGGCGCCGGCCCGCGCCGGTCTTATGCCTTGCCGCCAGCTCTGAGTCAGCGTGGTTTCGGCTGCTCATGCACCGTGTGGTTGGACCTGGAGTGGGTCTCAGCAGGTATGTGCCGGTGTCCTCGTGGCCCATGTCAGCTGTCTGTTGGTGTGAGGCGGGTACTTCCTTATTCCCTGTAGCTCGGGCTACTCGCCATGCGGTCTCTGCCATTTTAGTGCGGCCTCCGAGTTTTAGGTCTGCATTGTCGCCGCCTGGCACGCTGGTGTATCCATACGCCGGTGGGCCAAGGGTGGGGACTGGGATCACCCCGCCAGCCCAGAGGGGCGGGGGAACAGGGCCGGACCTCCTTAGCCTCATGCTTTGTTCAGACCACTGGTGGGCAGGATAGCAGGGTGGCAGCCGTCCACTCCACTCACCGCCTGAGTGCTCCCCATCGCCAAAGACAGAGAGCGGCCCGCCGAGGGACTAGAGCTGTGCAGCAAGCCTCTCCTCGGAACCAGGATGTCTGCTCATGCAGGACCGCCGATTTCAGTAACTTTTAGTAGGTATTTAATTCGTGTTTTTCGTAGAAAACTGACAAAATTTGCAGGAGCCTTTCAGTTGTGCGACCTGCCAGCATGGCGGTCCGGCCCCACCCCACTGAGGAGACTTTTACTCCAGTTTTATCACCCAAACTGGTAAAACAACTAGCTATGGATGGCTCAATGCGACTACCCAAGGGTACTCAGGCACCAGAGGCTGCCTGCGATATACTGGTGCGGTTCCAGCAGGTATCTGACAAGGCAGCTCTTATGGGAGCTCCCCAACTTACATCTTTGAGGATGTCCAGCAATCCTTCGTCATCGATTTCTCAAGGCAAATAATGAAGTGGAGGCTTTAAGGCCACTTACCATTGTGAGACAATAATCTTCATTACAAATGGGGACCTTGTCGTATCCAAGCATGCACCAACGGGAAATTCCGTACTCTAACTCACCTTGCATCAGCGCACACATTTTGGAAGTCCTTGGACCTACCAGTGGACTCCCTGCAGACTGATGTCCGTCACAAGTGGAATGTCCTAGATATATGTTCCTGTGGCTATCTCACCCATGCCTAAACTACGCTAAGGCTCGGTTGCCTTGCAAGTCATAGATCTGTACTTATGTATGGATCTACCCTAGCTCTGTGAACTGTTGTTGCATAGCTTTGTATGTTAAATGGTTGTGAAATTTCAAGTTATTATTTAATGTCTTACCACTGTTGAGCCTTTTTACATGCCTGTATATACATACTTATGTTACAAGTAAGGCACTTTTAACTCTCATAACTACCTCCCTACCCACTCCTCATGTAGTTAATAAGAGGTTGTTAGGGCAGAAATTCTTCCCTGGGAATTTTCCACAAACACAACTACTAGCATCTTGGGAGAAATTACTGATACACGACACATGGTCTCAAAACATATCTCAAAATTTATTGGCTTCAATCACTGTTTATATAAAAAAAAAAAAACAGAAGATTACTTAGCACTACGTCATATTACACAGAGTCAGCAATGCAGCAAATGTTTTGCAGCATTGACTGAAAAATGTATTCATGGTCACAAGGTAGACAGGTCATGGCCAAAGGTAGACATAACTTGATAATTTGGCAGATAACTACTTTCTCAATATATAATTGTACATCTTTCATTTAATTGTAGACATTGTTTCATAACATAAAATATTTGATTAGATTGCAGAATATAGATTTCTGTTACTTCCTCAAAGTATCTTGCTGGACATATTTAAAATGGCTAATGCTTATGAAATGGCGGTTGACTTAAATGGCTGCTAATTATAAAATGGCTGCCAGTTATGAAATCACACCTAACAGAGGTCTTCACAAAGCTAGACAGACCTTACATGCTCCATTCTTAATAACAGCCTGATATATGTATATTTTTCAAAGAATGCTTTGCCTGATTTCCTAGGGCAAGCAGATAGTTGCCACTTACTTTATAAATATAAAAACTCTTTATCCATATATTGTGCCCAACTTACTATTCACTGAAGCAAGTATTTACATCTGCAAATGTTGTACCAAGTCACTATCTATGTATTTGTTGAACATGTGGATGGAGAAATAAAAATAAATAAATAATAATATATATATAGATATATATGGTTTGCATTCTTCTAGATAGCCCAGGTATGAATGATAAATACTAAATATTTTTTTAGAAGTGAGATTCATGTCCACTTGTACCTTTTAACTTTGCATTCAGGCGCAACATGATTGTAATTTTGTCATGTTACCGATACAGCTAATATGAGGTATATTATAAGTAACACCTTCATAGCTCCCTGCAGAAGACCTCAATATAATTGAATCTCGCAGCCAGAGCTCTCAGCTTGTAGGAACAACCCCCACATATATACAAGGACAATGCATCAGATTAAAGGGGAAATATGAGATGCTATCAATGCCTGGTTCTGTAAAACCTGCGTACGAAATTTCATACATACATGAAATAATTATAACCGTACAGGCGTGTTATTAAAAGTCATGTTAATGCTTCAAGGACAGTCTTGATGCTGTTATCAAAAGAGTAGGTATATTAGAGTGTAGTGAGAACAGATTAACAAAAAATAAATAATAATAATTTCAACTTACATAGTTCCAATATGTTGGTATAATATGTTGATGCTATATAAATGCAAATAATCGTGATAATAATGCAGTGTACACTATGGTGTATAGTTCTCATTGTCTTGTATTCCCATCAAGGTTTTAGGTCTTCATCCTAAAGTAAATTGCAAATCACCTCTTTCCAACGGCCCTGCTCTAGGCATATCTAAAGCTCCAAATTTTAACTCTGGCATTGCGACTTCCTCAATTCTGTATGTCTCACCTCATTTAATTTATTCCACCCCGACTTGCACTCCTGCCCCACTTTTGACACTTTTTAGCACCCCCTCATCAACCTGTGTGTCTTTTCACCAATTCCTTTTACCCCTAACATGTCAACACAGCCTAAAATCTTTCAGTTTCTCAATAAAATGAATAGCACTGAAACTGGCAATAGTAACCCAGTGGCTTAACAAGTTATGGGGGAAGTTTTATGTATTGACAATGAATATATGTAAGATAGGACTTCTTCTCAGGACATCTCCTGGCTTACCCTTGCTGTACGGAGGAGGACAACTGGAGTCCACTTTGGTAAGAAATGCCATGTATCTGCTAAGACCATGCATAACTTGAAGGTATGAAACCATGCCAGAGTGCTGTTTTTGAGATGCTCCGTGCTTGCACATGATCTTAGAATGTGTGAACGTTCTTTAACTCTTGATTACAAGCATGCTTCTTGGTAACAACGATCACATTTCCCCCTCTCCAATGGCATACTATCCTAACTTTCACTATCCTTTAATCTTTTTTTTTTTTAATTGTTAATGCTAATTAAAAATGTATTTGATACAAATTCAAAATATTTAGAAATAATAAGTCTAAATAAAAGTATCTTGTACCCTCAGGCAAAGCACCTACACAAGTGCCTAAACTACCCAACAAACGCCCATCTAGGCTGAGGGCCACGAGGGGATTCACCCCACTGCATCGTCCACATAGGCGGAGGACTGATAAACACAAGTGACGACAAACCAACAGGGCCTTCAGCAAACTGGACTTGGACACTGCATGTACCAGAGTCCGTGGGTCAAAGATGCGGCCCCCTGATCATAACTGAAGCTGGAGAGATGGCTCAACTCGCCCTTGTGGCACTGCCTGCTCCAGAGGCTAACCCGGGATGGCCCAATGTCTCCCAGACCAGGGAATATGCTAAAAGCAAACCCGCTAGGCTAGGCTGCTTGTCTGCACGCTAATGCTGTGCCACACTATGGGGCTCTTATTGGTAGACCAGGCTGTGCCCTCGTATTATTTTGCCTTATCTCATTTTATGTAATACTCTAAAACTTAAGCTAGCCTCTTTCTGTTGATATGATTTTACACAGCTCTCATCGCCAAGCATTGCTGTATAATTGATTGTCTACCCTATTGACCAGTTGATTTTAATGCTATAATTGTCTCTGAATCCTTAATAACCATGCTAACACTAATGAGGAGTAGGCTAGATATATATGGAGCCGACCTGTCATAGCAAATGAGTAATGATTAGTCTGCCTAGCACCCTCACTTTGTAGCCTCACCCCATGTTTACACATCTTGGTATACAGGTGTTAAATTCACCATCAGATTCGTGACCAGCCATGTATGACCTTGTTTTCTAATCTTACTTACTTAAAAATGGTGCAGCTATTCGTGTATGCCTTTCTGTTCTTATACTATGTATTTACAACACCCTGCTATAGCTGAAGAGGCATAGCAAGTCTGCCTGTTATTTTTGTGCACAACAAAAAAATAAAGAATGAAATAAAAAATAAAAAAAGTATCTTGGATCAGGCGAATATACAGAACATTTTCCAGAATGGGAAAAACTGTATATAAGCCACTCTGCATCTCAAAGGCACCAAAGGGCCATATCTGCATGTGGGTGAACTTGCCTTCTCTTGTCCCACTATATTGATATCCATTGTACATACCCTCATGCCTTTTTGTAATATGGTTTATTTTTCTATGTAGATATTAGGAAAAATATATAGTTTGACTATGTCTTTTTCAGTACCATGGGACCAGACTAGAGCATATATTACAACTACAACTCTACAGAGCTAGATGCCAGCAGGTGGCTTCACAGCATGACAAAACTTTTGAACCCCCCCCCAAAAAAATGTGTGCCGTATCGCAATGCAGCACAGCTCAGCACAGCACAGCGCAGCACAAACCTTTCAATGAGCAGAGTGTAATGTTTTCTTTTGCTGGCAAATTCCTTTTATATCTGGTTTAATTGTTGACTATTGTATTTGCATGCCTGCAGTTGTGTCAAGTCGATTTCGATACTTTGTTTTTGTTGCAGAGTAGAGCGAGAATCCAGTTTCACTTAAGTACGTAGTGGCGAATGGCAACAGAACTTTGATTGCCCGCTTGGACAATTCTGGGTATTCTTCGCATAAATCACCCCAAGAAGCAATAAGAGAAACTTCTTTACATTTTTGGCTTAGTTGACTGGCAGAAGTTATAGCGATCAGATTCTCAAAATCTACATGAGAAAATTGGCTGGCTTGTCTTTTATGAATGGATTTTGAACCCAGTCATTATTGTTTTCATTCAAAAATGGAAAATACTGATTAATAGATGTGATTAAATGACAAAGATGATCTACAATTTCATTGCAAATTTCATCTTCAATTTCTGATTCTTCAAGAAAATCCTTAAGTGTTGGCAAAGAGTTCAAATTATTTTGCTCAACAGATGAGGTCCAAAACTGCAGCTTACGAGACAGTGAAAATATTTAATCTCTTGCATTAGAAATATTAGTGTTTTTTACTTGGAGTGATAAACATACGTCATTTAATTTTCTAAATATGTCTGCAAGATACGCTACTTTGGATAACCACAGAGTGTTTGTTAATCTATCAGATAATCAAAATTTATGATCCTGGAAATATGCAAACAACTCTTGACGCAATTCAAACATTCTAACACTTTACCTCGTGATAGACAATGGACTTCTGAATGCAAAAGCAGAGCAGAGTGGTGACTACCCATATCTTCACATATTATTTTAAATAGTCGTGAGATTGAAATCTTTTTAGCTCCCAGTGCATGTCTGTGAAGAACACAGTGAATACTGGTGCTATTTTTTGCTACATTTCTTATTCGTGTCACAGCGCCTGCCACTTTCCCAACCATCGCTTTGGCACCATCACTGCACTCATCTACACATTTGTCCCAATTTATACTGGGTGTGTTAATGAACTTCTGGATACAATGAAAGATGTTCTCACCAGTGGTATGAGTTTTCAATGTTTCACAGAGAAGCAAGTCTTTTTCAATCCGTTTGTCAAAATGATATGTAACAAAAACCAACAAAACTGAAAGTCCTGCAACATTGATGCAGTCGAGAAATTAGTTCAGTATGGCTGTCATCAGCAAGATCATGAATAGGGCGCAAAACTGTGTTGTTGGAAAGTGGCACAGCATCAATTTTTTTACTCAACTTCTCACTTAAAATACATGACACTATTTATTTTGCACATGGTTTTATTAGTGATTCCCCAATTGTGTGTGCTTCTCCTGCAAGTGCTATGCGGTAACTCACTCTGTAAGAAGCCTCTGTGGCTTTTTCATTAGCATTTTGAAATTTTGTGCTCATAAATTGCTTAGTCTTTTAGCTTTCTCTTAAAATAAGTCAATGTTTTTATCTTTGTACTCTGCGTGGCTTTGCTCAAAATGACAACGTAATAATCAGGTGCTAATGAACTCTTTGGCAATATTTTATTGCAAAGTATGCATTGTGCTTCATTTCTGGCACTTGTGAATCCAAATGACAAGTAGCTATCATCATTAGTGATGTCCCGAGCGGTTCGCGAACGGTTCGCCACGGACTCCAGTCAGCTGACACATTCCAGCCAATCAGCAGCAGACCCTCCCTCCCAGACCCTCCCACCTCCTGGACAGCTCACTAAGAATGCAGCTTCAAAATGGATGCTGTCCAGGAGGTGGGAGAGTCTGGGAGGGAGGGTCTGCTGCTGATTGGCTGGAATGTGTCTGCTGACTGGAGTCCGCGGCGAACCGTTCGTGGCGAACCGCGGCAAACCGTTCGGGACATCGATAATCATCATATTTTCTTTTTTAATTGTTTGAGAAGAAGATTAGATAGCATTGTGTGCTTTTCTTTTTTTAACTTGTCTCTGCTATTTGAGGAACAGTAGATAGAACTATTTTGGGCATGTTTTCTGGATTTTTTCTTGTATCTTCTTTCTCAGTTTCTATAAGTGCCGAACAGGTAGAAGTAGTAATAAAATTTCTCTGAAGAGTTCCCTGCTTTAACCAGCTTTCCAAATTCATTGTTGTTTATTGGTAAAAATAAACAAAACACTATGAAAAATACAGATCTCACAACCTGACTGAAAAGGATGCTAATTTTGATAACGATCTTAGAAAGAACTGAACTTAAGCAGGATTTTTGAGTTGGACTTGGAGCAAAAAGATTTGAACACTTTGAAAAGTACAGTTAACAGTTATTTGCCCCTCACAGAGTCTATTAATGCCCCTGGCAGAGCCTTTTAATGTCCCTAGCAGAGAATTTCAATGCTCCTGACAGAGCCTTTCAATGTCCCTAACAGAGAATTTCAATGTCCCTACCTTACAGAGCTTTCTATTCCCCTACCTAACAGAGCTTTCTATGACAATATCAGAGCTTTAAGTATCAGCTCCACTCTCTATCACTGCTCTACCGCTAGTGATAGAAAATAGCTGACGGCAGGGCTGGCTGGCTGACACCTGGGCGGGCTGCCTGACGGCTGGGATGAGCTAAGAGGCTGGCTGATGGCAGGGCGGGCGCAAGGGTGGGCTCTGACGGCAAGGCGTGCTGACAACAGAGCAGGCTTAAGACTGCGCTCCTGCGATCTCTTATGAGATCGGGGTTGCGCAATCTCTGCTGTTTCTGACCTTCCGGGAACAGCAGGTAGCAGCGGCCATCTTGGATGTGGCGAAATGCCGTGGAACCCCAATTTTGTTGGAAAACACTGCTCTACACTATCCTGACCCTGGATAGAGTCACGGCTAACGACAAATATTAAGGAAGAAAAACTGTAAATTATCAATAGGAGTATTTTAAAGGGTTACTCCAACCCTTATTTTGGGGGTGGGGGGCACATGTTTTCATTTTATTTTAAAAACCCTAATGGGTATTATTATTTACCTACCCAATGGATTGAGCAATAAAACCTAAAGAATTTTTTTTTCTTTCAAAAACTGTTTTTACTTGGGAGCAGAGTCGGAGTTGTTTTCCAAACCTCCACCCAACGGATCACTGAGGTGGTCATGGTGGTTGGGGCAACCCTTTGACCAACACAAAAACTCCTAATTATGGAGTACACCAAATCCAAACTAGATAACAAAGAGAAACAAAGCACACTTTCAGAAAAGAAAATCTGATATAATAATAATCCCCCAACCCCCCCCCCCCCAATTTACCAGGAAAAAGTCCCACGATGAACCATTTCCCTTTTGCAGATTACGGTACAAATGTGTAAGTAGAGATATACACCTCTCACTAACATGTGTGAGTCACAGAGGTTTGGCAGCATTCTAACAGTTTTTATTAGTTTCTGGTATATGTCTGAAAAGTCAGTCACAGATTTTTTTCTAGTTTGGCTACGTTCACCTAAAGTGCAGTTCTGGATTTGGGGATACATACATGTATGCAACAGGAACTTAACATCAGTAGACATTTCATGTTACTTTACGGTGAAATAAGCACTTTTATTTTACAACCCTTCATGAATGAATGGGGAATAATACACAATTTACCTCTGCTCACTTTGGGAACTACATTTTTATTCGAAGAGCATTTGAAAGACAAACGTTTCAGGGCCCTTGTCCCTTCCTCAGTGTACAAATGGAATCTTGGGCATGTATACATACACATATATATATAAAATTATTTTTTTTTACACATTTTTGTTTTACAGTTGTTACAAACAATTAATAATAAGCAATTTGCTAGTAGAAATCATATAACATTGTTACATTTTTTTTTCTCTAGTGCAATAACTTTTACCATGGCATTCTCTCCAAATAGACAAGCATTCCACACATGGAATGTATGTCCTATAGCTGCCCAAATCCCACACAAGGTCATCGTGCAAAATCTCACTTTCTACCAAAATAGAATTGTTCTCAAAACAGATAATAAATATGTATTTCTATTACTATGGTCAATGCATAAAAACCATGGTGGGTGCAAAGTAGTAGGACATAGCCATCTATCCCGACAGTAATGTAAATATGTCTGTATATATATATATATGATTACAAGGATGAGCTGGTAGACACAGCTCTGCTTATATGTGATGATAAAAGCCATAAAGCACAGCGGTGAACTATGTAACCCTGGCAGGTATATAGAAAGCAGATATTTCACAGTGATGCATGCTGTTTATACAATGGGGATGAGTTATAAACAATGTGGATAATTTCAGGCAGCCTGGCCCCCTGTGCTGGCATTCCCGATGCCTTAGAGCAGAGATGAGCACTCACTTCACTGTGCCCAAAATAAAAAGACAATTAACCCCTTCGCTCCCTTATTATGTTTGAAGGCAATCGGATTGAGCATTTATGCGAACGGACCTCTTAGCCTATCGATGGAGTACAAAATACAGCTACGAATGAAATCTAGTCTTGCCTTAAATTAAGATTAAAAAACAAAGGAGATTGTCCAGCGTTTCCTCATAACGTGGCGTTTATTTCAGTGCCACGAACATACGAGGGAAAGGTTTGACCTGAAACTGGTCTTTATCAAGCTTAACACACATCGCACAGAAAGTGATTTAAAGTGACAATCCATTGCCCAAATGCAAAATAAATACAAAATCACTGTTTAGTAGAAATATCCCAAACAAACAACTTGCAAAATCTGCAGATCATTTGTCTGCATCATTTGCGAGTCCTCCCCTTCTAACCCTGCCCAGACTTTCTGTGGCTGTCCACAGAATGCACAGACTTCCGAATACAGGCCAATGAGAAGTCTTTGCAAGGCAGGTGCCTTGAGTAATTGTCTGCTTTGAGTTTAGCTCCACTAAGCTAACCAAACCAGGAAATAACAGGACTGGTTGTCTGATTCACAGCCAGGAGGGTGTAACAAGACTAATTTATAAAAGTGCCAATTTCTATCGAAATCTGCACTTTTTGTAAAATGAGGACATACTTTTTATACATAAAGCAGTTCAGCAAGTTAAAGTGCTTTAGGGGTCTAGAGTATCCCTTTAAATAGCGGGGATACAGAAAATAAAGGGTAGGGCATCCCATGACAAAAAAAGGACAGAGTGCAAACATGATATACAGAACATATGCCAATACACAATAAGTATACAAACTGCATTGTTCTAATAAAGTGTTATATAATATGTGGGAAGAATGTAAAAACCTGATAAAATAAAAATATGTTTTATTTGAAATGATTACGGTTTAACCTAAATTATTATGAACCACAAAGTCGTATTATTTTCTTAGATAACACATTAAGACAATCTCTGTAGTGTTTTTTTTTACTTTGGTATTCATTGCCTAAACACAGAAAAATGCAGATAAAATTGAAGCAAGAAACAGGACATCAATTGTACTCGTGAAACTCTTATTGCTTCTAAAAACCAAAGAAAGCTACCGATTGTAGGCAATATAGAATTCACGGCAGGTATCCCTTAGATCCAGTATGATAAAAAGAAAAGATGCATTGAAATACTAAAGACACATTCAGAAAAAGGAGAATCATGGAAAAAGAGAATAAATCTGAATCTGTATTCATGCCTAGAGGCTGTAAACTCTTCAGTTCTTTTATCTTGTAAAACTCTCCCTTTTAAATTTTTTTTTCCTGTTTTCTTTCTTCTTTGTATGGAAACATGATTGATACACTTCAAATTAAAATGATTTCTGGATTGAAACAAATGGGGGCGAGGATCACAGTAATAAACTCTAATTCCTTAATGGGTTTCGTGTCAATAGCATAGCAATTTTAAATATATATCTAGAAATAAAATATGTCTTTTGCACAGTGGCCAAAATGTAGCATTGTTTTATGCAAGAAAATATTTAAATACAATTTTATATCAGATTCAAGAAGCAAGATCAGATATTTTTCTATGTATAATGACTCGGAACATAAAGTGAAAAGTAGATTGTTCGTTTTAAATTCCGGGGATTCACTGGGGAAGGAGGATCATGACTGCTGCACACAGGGTTAGGGGCTTTGTGTTGGCAGGTTAATATAAGAAGAAAAAGAGGGTGGGCTTATCAGTCGGCTGAAGAGAAATTGAAGAAGGTTCAACTGTTTTTGTGAATTTAATTGTTCTCAGTTCTTGGTGTCCGTGTGGTGTCTTTTCTTGTTGTATTTTGTCTTTGTTTTGTCACAGCAGCGATGCTCCTTGTCAGCGTAGCGGTACAGTCAAGAAGATGCCTGATTTGGGATTGTGGTTGGCAGAGAAGCTGATGGTGTATCACAGACCACTTCAGAAACATGGAAAAGGTTATGGTTATCACCCAGCAGCTGGCAGTCCGCAGTATTTGTTTGATTTTGATTTCAAGTTGTGCACGTAAAATAAAAGCTGTGGCTGATGCTCTAACCAATTTAAGATGGTGAGCGCATCATTATTGGAGCAGCACCAACTGGGGGAATGGGTACCTAGGATAGCTTTAGGTAAGTTTGTGTCCTTGGTCAGCAAGAAACCAGAATGCAATGTTCGAGGTGTCAGTAGAAAATGATTTGGTAGACTGTAACATATTTTAACCTATAAAACAGGTTGAGAAGACTTTCCATGGTGTAAACAAAGATATGCAAAGCATCATATAAAGATAATACCATACCAGAGTAACAAGAAGGTTTTCCACCAGCTACCGTCAAGCCTCAAAAATAGAAGGTATTGTTTGGAGTCTGGTGAAAAACCTTCTTGTTACTCTGGTATGGTATTATCTTTATAAGATGCTTTGCACATCTTTGTTTACACCATGTAGAGTCTTCTCAACCCGTTTTATAGGTTAAAATATTTTTAATTAATTATTTTTTTTAAGATTTAGGTTTAAGCCACATAGCTGTAGATGCCCAGTAGGGCTGTGGGAATAAGAAGGAGGTTCCAGCAGTGGCATGTGGTTCCACACCAGCCAGATCGATATACAGAAAAACTGGGAAATATACCCTCCTGACATGGAAGAAGCAAGACCTTAGATGTGTTGATGGTTACATGTGTCCAAAATAAAAAATCTACTGGTCAATGTTGTGTTTAATAAAACTGTAGCTGTAGTTACCCCCCCTCCAAAGCCAAAGAGTTGTATAGCTCTTTATTTGTGGTTTGGAAAGTCTTGGGTGGGTGGTGGGTGGGGTGGTTGGATGTGTCTGATTAGGGTCCAACTAAGCAATAACCAGAAAATAATATCTTTAGGTTGTACACCAGATTTCAATAGTCAAATGCCATAAGATTTGTTTTAGGACTTGTTTTCCTAATTAAATTACTATTTAAAATGGAGTGTACAAAAACAGTTACCTGTGGCACATGTGTATGAAATATTTATTAAACAGTGGCATTAATAAACCTTCCCTAACATGGTGTGTGCAGCCTCTTATGGTTTGGTAAATGATTGATTAAACGGAACTCTCAGTTTATTACCAGAGCTCTGTTCTTCATTGTTTATTGTCACAAAACAGTCTTCATCCAATTCTGTTTATATGGCTCATGCCCAATCCCATATTCCATCTACCAAAGGAAATGTACTTTGAGCATATGCATAAATGTTTTTCCTGATGGACCAGGAACATTAAATTAACCTGTGGTACGACAGAAACAGAAAGAAAAGAGATCGCAGGAGACTTCAACAATATGTTCACTCTTAAAGCAACCATATTGTCTTACCATACGTCTCTATCTTTACTGAATTAAAAGGTCTCTCTAAGCACCATAACTACAAAATGTACTGTAGTGGTTGTGGCTTCGATTGGTGCAGCCCCCCTGTTTTAATTCAAGTTGTTTCCAAGTTAAAAAGTAATTCTCTATTTCAAATAGTTACATTTGGTGAGCCAAAAGGGGAAAATAGCAATTTGTTGAGGGTGTACTGTACACTCAAGTGCTTATCTGTGAATCAATTTTGCACAATAATAACGAGGAAGTGGGGGATTCTCATAATTTTATCACAGGGAAAGGCTTTGAGTTGCAGGAATCCTATGGGTTTACTTAAACTAACTGAGAACAGATAGTTTCAAAAAGCAACTAAATTACATCCACAGCGTATTAGCGTCCGTGCACCATAACTGCTACAATAAGCTGTAGCGATTATAATGCTTGCTGGAAATTTAAACATATATGATGAAAAACGTTTTGCATTAGTATGAACAATACAAAATGTTAGGCAAAATTCCCTTTGTATTTAAAAACCGGGGGGGAGGGAGGTATGACAACTGCACTCTAATAATAATAAGGTAGGATAAATAAAGATAAGGCACTGATGATTTGAGATTAATAAAACATCAATAATTAGTAAAACCCATTGTGGAAAATAGACAATATCACACATCTCAGGGTATATTGGACACCTATTACATTTAAAACAATCTCTGACAGAAAATAATAATAAAATGTAATAGTATATAGAAAACTAAATCAGAAAAATAAATTGAAAAGAGCTCTGTTGACAATGGGGGAGAGGCTAGACGTTGCCTAACTTAGACGCCATGTATGTCGAGATCGGATCAAAGCACTGCTCCTTGTTATGGAATGTAGGCCCGACTACTGCTTTAATCATGAAGTCTTCTATGGTATATCCACCCATCGCATATCTCTGCTCTATTTCTGATTGAAAGACTGCGCTATAAAGTTACATGATCCAGGGACATGATACTCTGTAGCAATATATTACGCTATAAGTTACAGTTACTTTGCTGCCATGTATGTATATACAGTTATAGATACATAGCATTCTAATCTTAACAAAAAATATCCCATTTATAGGTGCAATTAAAATGAATAACTAGCACAGGGTTTTACATATACACACACAACTAAAATTAGATAATACAATAACTATATAATCAAATATATAGTCATAGTTAAAGAAAAAAAATGTGTATGTGGTGGACGGGAGGGTGAAAAGAAATAGAAAAGGGGCTGTCCAGTTCAGCAATTAGATCAGATATTTGTCCATTCGCAATGTTTTGTTATTTATCGATATTTTTTAAAGTTTTTTTAAATTTATTTAAAAAAAAGACATCAGTCAGGTACATAATGTTCTGCAGTGTATATCTCCATGGAGTAAACCATACTCTCATGTTAACTTTAGTAAATAGCTCAATTGTAGGCTGAATAAATATCAAGGGCAGGTCTCAATGGGGTAACAAAGTCCCTTGGCATGCCTGTCCTATTTTTCTTTTTTTTTTTAGATATGAAGAAAGTCAGGTCCAGGCACTCAGGGTATTGCAAAAAGCATATTTATAAGACCAAGAGGAGCAATATTCTGCTGGTGTAATTTATGGGTGCTGCAGTTGCTTTGTAACGTTGTATTTGAACTGTTATATTGTATATGTTCATGAGTGGTTTGTGGTATTACGTATGATACCTATGCATGTGGAATTGTGTGTCTGGTGATATGTCACATTGTGTGTTTGGAGTATATGTGTGGGGCTGCTTGTTGTATTGTATGTGAGAGGCTCCTTTTGGAGTTGTGTGCATCTATGTGGATTGTCATTGGTGTTGTGTTTGTGGGGACTGTATGTGTGTGGCTTCTTCTGCAGCTCTGGGGTCCAGTGGGGACCGGGCTGGCGAGGTACAGGTCAAGGAAAGAAGCTGTGATAGCTGCTACAACCTGCTCTACTCCAGTGTGGATTCCCCTTCACAAACGCTGTGAGGATGTGATCTGAGATCACTTCCTCTAAGTGCTGCAATGTGTATATTGAGGAATGCCCCTTACCATCTGCAATCACCATTGAGCACTAGCTGATAGCTGAACTTCCTCTGGGAATCCTGATAGGCCAAAGCCTGTTTGGCTCTTGCAGTTTTGAGTGTGAAGGCACCTCGAGTGCCATAGGTTGCTGGCCCCTGACCTACAGGGTCGGCCACCCTTACCAACTGCACATGAACTCAACTTTAAAGGGAAACTACTTCTACTCGGATCTCTAAGAAGGTATAAATGTGACGACATCAGGGACTAGCAGTGCTCATGTGCCAGGTAAATGCTAACAACCATAGCACCACTATGATAGGGGCTACCTTAAAAGGATTCTATAGTGCCAGGAAAACAAAGCTGCTTTCCTGGCACTATTGAATCCTACAGTGCTGCCCTACCTTGCACCCCCTCCCCCCCCTCCCGTGGCACTAAAGAAGTTAAAACCCCTTCAGTCACTTACCTGAATCCAGAGGCACAGCGGCAATGTCCCTCGGCGCTGGGTCAGGCTCCGCCCACGCTGACTTTAGCCCGTTGGGGGAGACCTAATGTGCATGTGCGGCAATTGACCACGCCCGCATTACAATTTCCCCATAGGAAAGCATTAATCAATGCTTTCCTATGGGGATTCCATTGACGATGGAAGTCCTCATGCATAGTGTGAGAATGTCCAGCGTCATTTAGATGAAGAAAAGTCGTCTATGCCCCCGGAAGTCCCTCTAGTGGCTGTCTGGTGGACAGCCACTAGAGGAGTTAACCCTACAAGGTAATTTTTGCAGTTTCTCAGATACAACAATAATTACAACTGTAGGGGTTAATCCTAGAGGGACCTGGCACCCAGACCACTTCAATGAGCTGAATTGGTCTGGGTGCCTACAGTGTCCCTCCAAGTTTTCCAAAACCTCCTTTTATATGATAGTTTGCACCATTTTGTTTACAGAATCTTTCTATGTTCAGTCTTATGATGAATGACATTGTTATGTCTTGTTCTTTGCATTTACATAGAAATGTTGCCATTGTTTCTGTTTATCTACACCTCACTCTGCAACTCTTCTCTACCCTGTGCTGCACACACATACACGCATACAGCATTATATCACTTATAGCTATGGCTACTATTTCAGTTTTATTCTTGAACTCAAGGACCTCAACACATAAAAGAAGACTGCTCCTACAGGAAACATTTGCCTCCAAAAAAAGCACTTTTGCAAACGCAATCTGTCAACATTTACCTCACCTCACTACCCTGAAGTACAGCACTTTGATTCTCCCATGTGAAGTACAGCAATGGTTGTTCACGATGCAGGCTAAATATGCTGACAGGGATGGTCATCTCTTGATCCTCCAGGAAATACTTGATATGGAGCCCTTTGCGCTTATCTATGCAGGACTCTTGTCAAAGCCCTTTTCCATAACCAATAGCACCAGTCAGGAATAACCATTATCTTCACTAATATTCATATTAGCAATGGAACCATTTACTATCTAACACACAAGCAGGCCGCAAACAATTTCTCTATTTGCAGATGACAGTATCTCGTCTATACTTAGTTCGTCCACCTCATTACCCCCATTGATACAACTTCTGGAGTTATTTGGTTCAGTATCCTATTACAAAAATAAAAAATGCAAGCATTGTCTATTTAATTAGCGCACTCGGAACTATCTACCCTAAAAGCTACATTTCCTTTTGAGAGGAAAAATAAATATACAATACCTATAAATAACAATTACCCCTCATAAATACAGCACTATTGCTGAAAACCATATCAAGATCACAACAAAACCCAAGTCACTTTTCCATGTGTGGTCCTCTAAGGGCGTTTTTTTGATGAGTTGCATTCTAATAATTAAAATGAGCGTTCTTCCATTACTACTATACTTATTTTGTACCATACAATTGCCTGTGCCAATAGCCCTGCTTTAAATGTTCCAAATTATGATTAATGCGTATATTTGAAAATGTCAACCCCCTAGGATATCTCATAGCATTTTGAGATCGTGGCGTGGGAGTGCCGAACATCAAATTCTAATATTTTGCCTCAACTTTAGTCTTCATGGGTTGCTCTTGAAAATAGTTAATAAAAGCCTAGAAGAAGGACCAGCTAATGTGGCTACCAAAAATCCACTGACCCAAGATCCAAGCATATCCTTCCTATAACTATGCATTTCCTGGCCATCTGGAGAGCATGGATTCCGAAACTCTTGATTCAAACCAGTGGAATCTATTTTGCTCATTTCACCTGAAGCAATTCACTCAAGACCTAGATATAACACTAGCCTGCTCATGGATTGCTCACAATACGTCAACAGTTCACCCCAGCAGCACTTTTGTCCTTTATAGAGCTGTAAACTAATTTTAACCTACCCTCCAGAGTACAAAATATAATTAACTCATTTGGTGACCAATCCCAAACAAGACTGGGGACCATTCAGCCTTCTGTGTACATGCCACATAAAAAACACCAAACCATTATCGACTTGTTATTGAACAAACCTACAACTAGATTCAGATGAAAATTCTCATATAAGCATCAATGGAAAAAAGAATTGGGGAAAACCTTCTCATTGTCAGAATGGAAGAAAGCTATGTCCAACGTGCACAGCACCTCTAAATATATATCTCGTTGGGAATCTAATAGAAAATTGATCTTACTTTGGTACATGGTCCCTATGAAACCAGCACATATATACCCAACAAGTCTGAAGCTCTGCTGGAAATGTGCTGCCCAGCATGGCACTCTTTTGCATGCATTCTGGGACTTCCATCTTCTCCGGAGTTACTGGTCTGATATCCAAGCTATGATTTATGACGTCATCAAATTTTACCACTCCAACCTGAACACTTTCTGCTCGATATGTTTCCCACATCCCTAAAAGGAACCACAAAGACGTATATCTTACATATTCACGCAGCAACACGAACAAACATTGCTAAACACTAGAAAAGTAATAACCCACACCTCCACGATAAAACCCATATCATCTTCCGTGAAACTCACTCAATAATACGAAGAGATGGCCCACAAACTTAACACTTTACGTAAACTCAAGAAAATTGCATGGATGGCTTTGGATGAAGTATACGCATCAAGCACTTAAGGTTCACCTGGTTCTCATGGTTCAATGGCCCTCTTCTAACATCTGTTCCTCCCACTCTTGTGTCTCATTGCTTCTGCACTGAAGTAGAATATTTCAACCATACCTCATCTCTCCTGGCTCTCTTTATCTCTCTCTTTTATTGCACTTAATTTCCCCTGTTTGCAAGGGATGTGCATGGGAGAAAATTTCGGTTCGGCATTTCGAAATTCGGGACTTCGCCCATTCGGTTCGGTTCAGCACTTCGACACTTCGGAATTTTGGCACTTCCACACTTCAGAATTTCAGGACTTTTCTTGCAGCCTACCCACCGCTCAGGGGTAGGGGACAGGGGGGAGGACAATAGGTCCCCCCCTTATTCTAAATTTAGGGCCCCCACCCACTGCTCAGGGGTAGGGGCCAGGGGGGAGGACAATAGGTCCCCCCTTATTCTAAATTTAGGGCCCCCACCTGCCGCTCAGGGGTGAGGGCCAGGGGGGAGGACATTAAGTGTGTACCCCTTTATTGATATTTAGGGCCCCCACCCACCGCTCATGGGTGGGGGCTGGAGGGGAGGACAATAGGTCCCCCCCTTATTCTAACTTAGGGCCACCACCCGTCGTTCAGGAATGTGGGCCGGGGGGAGGACAATAGGCCCCCCCTTATGCTTCTTTAGGGCCCCCCACCCTCCGCTCATGGGTGAGGGCCAGGGGGAGGACAATAGGCCTCCACCCACCACTCATTGGTGGGGGCTGGGGGGAGGACAATAGGGCCCCCCTTATTCTTCTTTAGGGTCCCCACCCGCCATTCAGGGGTGGGGGCGGGAATATATATATATTTATGTTTTTGTAGTTTTTTTTTACAGTGAGCAGCCACAGGCTGCTCACTGTTTAATAGACATACCCCTACTCGCGGTATAGTGAGTAGGGGCATAATTTACTAATACTAAGTAATCTTTACTTAGTATTAGTAAATTTGACTGAAAGACCAATTTAGGTTTTTCAGCCTTTTAGTAGATAGCTCCCTAATACCGTGGGAATTAGGGAGTTATCTACTTATTCATTCCTGTCATTACATTGACAGGCTAAGTAACTTACATTTTATATGAATGTATGTTACTTGATTGTTGTAAGTGTTGCAAATGCTTACAGCTGAAATCTGGCTATGTTTGTATACTTTTTATTTAAAATTGTATACAGTGTAACATTCTTCATTCTTCCACTGGGTAAGTATACTAGTACTTAGGCAATACTGTGCTTCGGAACTTCGGCACTTCAGCTATTCGGACATTCGGAAGTACCCGAATGTCCGAATTTCCAGAAATTCGTCCAAATTCAAATTCGGACCAAAATGAATTGCACATGTCTATTTGCTATAGCAGAGCAAACCAACCATACTTTATACCATGTTTGAGCAAATCTCACTGGAAGACACCAATCATGATGTTAGTTCAGACATCATTGTACTATTACAACCTTGATGGACTATGAATTGTTTGTTAGATTTTATTTGCTCCCATGTATCATTGTATGCTCCTGCTGGTTTACATTTTTCAATAAAAACTTAAACATTGAAAACAAATCTATTTAATTGTATTACTTGATGAAAGGATTATTGTATCAAAAAATTGTTGAGGAAACAGTTATCCTTCAAGAGTGAAATCCTCAAGTTCCACTCCCATATTAGTGATATCTTCCATCCATCTTTGAATTCACAGGGTGAGAACATCAGCTGACACTCCTTGGCCAATGAATTCCATCCAAACATGTAATACGGAAATTCTAATACGGGGAGGGAATATCTGCATTAGAGATATCTGTGAAGAGGGACAGACACACACAAAAATACTGGCCCAGAGAAGGATTACGCTTCCATAAGGGCTTTGGCAGGTAACTAATTTAGGGCCTTTCTTTGTTTTCACATAGGGATGGTGAAGAGCACCAAGCTTTTCATAGTATCTTCATGGTTCCAGGGCCCGTCTAAACTCTGGGTCATAGGCAGTTACCTAAGGTCACTTTATGGTTAATTCTGCTATGCCCTACACAGCATTTGACCTGCTGTAGAAGGACAGAATTCATTATGGGGGACAGTATTAATGAGGACTGTCACACATTTCAGGCAATATGGGACATGTAAAATTCAGCACTGATCTAAGATCGAAAGATCTGGTTATCATGTAGCATCACAATGTACAATAGTTTTTATTGCAAAATGTGTAAACCACAGATAAAAAGTCAATAACCACAAATAAAAAACACACACATGTAAACATAAACAGGCAATAAGCTGTTTGCCAAGTGATCATAATATTAGACAGAAAACCACGACTGAGAGAGAATAGCTCCTTCCCCGTCCAAGGATTGTTCAACAGGTGTGGTGAGGCTCACTGTCCCTGCGCACACAAAATAGAGGTCATACCCTCAAGCAGCTGGGAAGTCAGTGAATCATTTTAAAAATAAAATAAAAAACAGATATAGAACATTTTTAAAATATGTTAAATACACATGTTAAGTATCTGTGTAAGAGTAAAAATATGTATATATCATAAACATATAATTAACAGTGCAGTTGAAAATTCAATGGAAGATTCTCTAAATTTAAATCTCTACTAAAAATAAGGAGCTGAAATGTCAGTACAGGATTCCTCAAATTTAAATCCACACTAAAAATATAGGGGGTGAATGCCATTGCAGAATTCCTCACTTGTTTATAAGTCTCAACTTCTGGAAATCCTATTTTGAGGAGATATATAAGAAGGGCCTGAAGATTCTATTTGTACTTGGGGAGGAAGAGGTATGGCTGCTGTTTAGTAAACCAGGCGTTGAATGGAAGTTTGAGAAACTTATGGTTGTGCTAGTTGGAATCGATATTGCTGGGATGCATACACAATTTTTATTGCAGTGTTTGGTGAATACAAACAAATATCTTCATAATGTCTACGCTAGCACAACAGAGACTCAAAAAACAGATGTATGTTTTCTTGTCTGCTTCCTGAATACGTCAGATATTTTCTATATCTATACTATATGTTTAGACGTTCTGATGAGAGTTCCAGTTTTTTGTTTAATTACTTCCGAAGCTACGCGCAGGTTTTCATTAACCCTTGCTGTGTCACAGACATAACACACAGCTGCAGCACTTAATACATCCACTGTAAAGTATATGAGTTTTGACATGAAACCTATGTATAGTATATTTGTAACAGTGTGACTTCGGGAACACGGACTGCGTGTTTCAGTGACGGCCACGGAGACTGAGTGCTTCTAATACAGGTAGGTAAGGAGTGATACTATCAATAAGTACAACATTTATAGTCTGCTAATGCTTTTGGGATAAGCAGTCTGGCGTACACGAAGGCTACCTGTCACGCTTGAAATAAATCCAGACTAAAAATATTAACATGCAGCAAGTACTGAACTAAAAGCCTCCCTTCTTGCTCACAGACACAGGAGTGCAGACAAACAGGGTTTTACTGTTGCTATGTGTGTCTGTCAGCTGGGAAATGTCAGGTAAGTGTCTGTTACTGAAGGCTTTGGAACTGTCAGAATCAAGATTTACCTAGAGACTACAGAATGCATATTTGCCTGCTACATTCTTTAAAGAATTAAATGCTGGATCGTTACTGCATATTACCCGCCATGAAGTGGTTAGTACAGGGTAGTACAATTCCAATGACGTGACCAAGGTGGATGATCAAGGGAGGAGTCAGCGACGGCGGACAGGCGCAGCGCTGGAAATAAGGTATGTTTTAATCCCTTATAAGGGGGCAAAGGGGTGTGGGGAGAGGTGGGGGCAAAACATCAATGAATCAATGCATCTCTATGAGGAAAATTCAGCGTCTCCATGCAGAGCGTGGGGATGCTGAACAGCAGTGCTGCTTATTGTGCAGCCCTGAGCCAGGAAATCTAAGGAGTGGCCACTTGGAGGTGTCCCTAGGGGCAATGTAAACACTGCCTTTTCTCTGAAAAGGCAGTGTTTACATGAAAATGCCTGAAGGGAGCCAATATTCTCACCAGAACAACTACATTAAGCTTTAGTTGTTCTGGTGACTATAGTGTCTCTTTAAGTTTCAATGAAAATGCAAGTAATATATAATGACTGCACTCCAACATTTCGAAGGAGAGCTATGCCTGTCTTCAAGACACGGCTAACAGCAGATGTTATTAAGGATATCCAGACATAAGCACAGGAGATAATACCAATGGCTTCTTGTCCACGGATTCATGCTGCTGTAGTTTGCTAGAGAATAAATAAGTTTGCTCCTAGAAAGTGCACTAAGCCAATTTGAATAGAAAGGGACAACGGCTCATGTAGTCCTGAATCAGGAAACAACTCAGACAACTAATGCTTGCCAATAATCCTGCTTTTGGGTCTCTGACCTATTCTGGACAGGATGCATTAACATAACAGCTCCTAAAGTAATTATTTATCTTTATGATAAATGATATATTCTATGCGGTTTGAGCAGCAATAAACTATGAAATAGTACTGGAAGTCGCAAAGTGTTCTATGTCAATATGAACACGGACCCAGAAGGAATGCACTTCACAAAATCAAAGAAATACATTTATTGTGCAGAGGTGATAATGAGAAATCTTAGCGGACTGCCAGGTTTATTGTACTTTGGATATGATATGAAACTTTGATACAATATTAAGAAATACTATTTAAAAAACAACTATTTTAATTAAACTGAGAGTCTTGAAGAAAATACTGCTCTAAGATAAGAATATTGAATCGCTGAAATTTAGGGATAAATTGGCTCAGATAAATGTCACTTGTTAGGAAACCTTAACATTACAGAGTGGACCGTCTATTTTGGAACATTAACTGAAGATGTAGTTTGTGTTTTAGGACAGGGAAGGGCAAGCTGTGTACATCTAGAGAGAGCATTCACATGTGTCCTTGGGGTGTTTTGCATATGTTAAATGTTACACCCTTATTGTGCTGTAATTGTAATATTAACAATATGGTATTGTTTGGATGTCTAAGATAACTGGGGGGGAAAACGAATCTAAATAAACAAAAATAAGATTGCTTTTTTATCGTATTTATATTGTGTTCTAGATTCAACTCTAAAATGGTAACGCAAAGAGTACAAAGCATTTTATTCATTAACCCCATAAGAACATTTTTGATGGCAGCCTACGAATTTTAATTACCACCAGGTCCAGGCATCTCAAACTCTACCCGTGCCCAAGTTTCTAAACTACAAATCCAATGATTCTAGTGCACTGAAGAAATATTAGAACTGTAGGACATCAGGGGGTGGGGAAAGGGAGTTTGAGATCCCTGATCTAGTCCTTAAAGTTCCTAAGCTAGAATGAAATGTCATGCTTATTTAGTCCTGGTAGCTCTATGCAGTCCATCAGTCACTAAATGGCAGGTCATTACGTTTTGAAATGGAACCCCTAAAGAGCAGATTGTTGGGACGGTCAATGGCCCTTTTGGGAATTAAAGAAGATCTGTCATGCATATTTAGTAAACTCCTATGTGTATTAGTTACATTTGTACATGACAAATACATTTTTGTTTTTAAATTAATGTGGGTATGGGATTCTTTTTATTCGTCTTCAAAATCTTGAAAAAGCTGCTTATTGTAAGATAACTTTCAGGTCTTTGAGTTCAGTGAGGTTTATGAACAAAGCATACTAGGAAAATCTTCAATGGTTATTCCAGGCTGGAGGCCACTTTTTAATGTGTTAAACAGATAATTCATAAAAAAAAACAAAAAAAAAAAACGAGATACTGCAGCTTTTCCCAGGGATCTGGAATGCCTCTCCAGAACACAGACAGGGATAGTGATTAAAATCTTTTGGCTGATCAGTGCATTCCCATTGAAAATGATAAGTGCTGAGCACATGCTTTTGACAACAGATGCATGCATGAGACATATGTGCACCAAAAGTCGCATGTGCGCGAAATTTGTTTTCAAAGGAAAATATATAACTTCTGTGAATACCTGTGAGTTCACACATAGATCACATGGAATTAAAAGTTTAAAGCCAAGATAGCTAGCTATAAACATTAAACTTAAATTTATCCAGTTGTACTATTTTGGTTTAAAATTTCCTGTTAAATTCTGTACAATCCATGATTTAGTGAATATGCTTTTATTAAACAGTTCTTGATTTCAGGGTTTTGGATTTAATCAGTTCATAGTAAACAAAAAATAAATATCAAAATATACTCGAACACTACTGATATTAAGCTATAACCACTTAAATATGCTGTTTAGTACATAAACCCCTGTGTTCTGTTCCTACCTAATGAAGCCTAATTGGTTTTTTTCTTCTCCGCATCAGGGCACATAAGCCAGGAAAACTTACCCTAAAACTTTGGTATCATTTATGCTGTCCATATAATTGGTGTATTCCTTCAATATACATGTCTGGGAGGTGAGAAATAAGAGAGCAGACATGAAAACGGGGAGGAAGGCCAAGACCCGTTTCCTGGAGCATAAAAATAACATTAAGAAGGGGATACAAAATCATTCTGTCCCGGTTCATTGTAACCAGTGCCCACACTTTAATCATCTTTCGTGGGTGGTTATTGAGCAAGTATCACTTGGTGTGAGGGGAGGAGATCTTGTTATGAAACTTAGACAGAGGGAGGGATTCTGGATCCATAAACTGAGAACCCTTCAACCACTAGGGCTAAACATGGATTTTGATCTAATTTGTTTTCTTTGCTTTTTGATTTCTGGGATTTTTATTGGTATCTTTATTCATATTTTTTAGCATTTTTATTTTTTATATGTATATTTTTTGTTTTTTTACATGCATTTTCCACATTTTTCTCAATAGTTTGTGGTTTCCAGAACCGTTCCCTATGATTAGAGTGGGACGCAAGAGGAATATACTTTTTTTTTATATATTACTTTCAAGGGATTGTTCATTTTGTAATTTGGTTCTTTGTATAGAATATAGTAACATCTCTATTCTCTATTTTGTAACATTTGAGATGAATGTATTCATATGACGTTTTTTTCATTATGTAATTTTGGGTCTCTTTTATCTTCATTACTCTCTTTATGCCGTCCGACGAAGTTGATGGAGTGGAACGCATGTGCGTTCCAGCCGCGGGCTGATGACGTCTTGAAAGGCAGACAGTTTCCAGAACGGTGGAACGCATATGCGTTCCACGAAGATTCGGCGGAAGACCATATATGGATAGAGACTCGAGTGAATGATCGCTGACAGGTGATTGCAGCTACACTGATTGGCGGAATAGATGCCGAACACGACGACAGGGACATTTAAAAGGAACTTTGGACATAGAGTTTATATTAGCACTTTACTTGTCTGTGATATTTGTTTTTATAATTTGTCTTCTCCTGATAAAGTCTACATAGTAGACGAAACGAGTTGAGCCGTTTTAATTACTGCCTGTGATTTCTGTAAACCATCTCTACTGCACACCACCTTGGATAGAGGGATACAGAGATTTATTGATGGGCGTTTTTAATTCTTACTTTTTGTAAGTGGATTCAATTAAACCGTGTCATTTTATACTTCAAAACTTTGCTGTACTATGTCCAGTTCTTCTTTTTTTGCATGCACCCTTGGGAATTGAGAACTTCCACTGCAAAGACTTCAAAAGAGATATTGATGGGCTTGAAAATTCATATATTCTGTGAGTGCAATATTAGGGGTTACCTTGCTTAATGGTGCTTCCCTATGAGTGTATCTTGTCTCTGTTTTTATGTTCAGGTGTATCTTGTATTTTATATGAAAATATAATGACGCATTAAAAATGTAAAGATTAAGAGGGTGTGATTTACGGTTGGCAGATGTAATACTAAATAATGAAATCATGACTTACTATTTTACAGAAAGGGTGGTTGATACCTGGACTAGCCTTCCAGTAGAAGTAACAAAGGCTAACCTCATCCAGGAAGTCGTGGCTACTAGGGTGTGCATTAGACTATGCGGATGAAGAAATGAGACCATTCTGGGAATTTCTAATGGAAAAACAAGTTGGGCCAAACGGTTCTTAGCTGCCATTAGCAACTACGTTCCTTTACAGCAAGTATAATTATTGTGTTGAATCCACTGCATCACATATGAACACAGCTAAGGTCATAGTAACTTTGGGTAGCCATGCCTTCCAGATGGTATATAGCAGAGCAGCTGATCTCTGTCATACAATAGCTGCTGGTGGCATCGACCACTCACATAGCTGTGGCAGCTGCCAAATGCCTTGAAACAGTTTATACACCTTCCACTAGAGCTGCATACAGGCTGGTATTCCCAATAGGCAAGATTTTGAAAGGTTTTGTTGATCATTGCATGTTGTATATGAGCAGGAGCTATAGGCAAGATCTGATGCAGAGGACTCTTCTTATCTAGATACAGCTCTACTATCACCATAAGAACTTAATTGCTTAGATTCTTCGTGTGCTTCCAGTGTGTGAACTGGAACATTAAGTCTATGAAATTAAAGGGAAATTATAATGCTAGGAATACAAAATTGTATTGCTAGCTCTATAGTGCCCCGCAAAGTTGACAAAGGGTTAAAAATGTACCTGATTTCAGCACCGATGTCCCTCGGTGCTGGGTCAAGCTCCTCCTGATCCATCAGCCAGTGGTGGAGACCCAATGCGCAGGTGCATCGAGCGTCGCAATCACATTAAGAATTCCCCATAGGAAAGCATTGAATCTGTTTCTCAACGAGATGAAGTGGTTTGGGTGCCTATAGTGTCCATATAGTGAGTAGTGCAGGGGTAGGCAACCAGAAAGTTAAAGGGATACTATTAGGGACCAAAACAACCTTTTGGGGCAGTGATTGAAATACCGTGCCTGAGTGTAATCGCTCAGTCGGGGGATCGAAAAGCACTGCTCATAGCTCATCAGTCAGTCTGGGTGCACTAACTGTGGCCCAGGTTGTAGAGTGGACCCCAGGAATAGAAAGATACCTGGGGTCCTTTGTACCAGCAGGAATTTAAAACCTGCTGATACCATTACTGCATGACAGTCTATGCCGTGATTGGGCCCTGCACTGCAAGATGGCATAGACTGTCATATGGTTAAAGTTCAATTAACAAAGCAGGAGATAAAAAAAAACCTTCTAAAGTAAACACTGTGTTGTAACATCTGATTGAAAATGAAGGGAGCCAGTGGAGGTGTGTATAGGGTGAATAAACAGAAACATAAGTGATTTAACTTCTAAATAGCAGAGGACGCTGATGTGAGACTGCCTAATCTATCCCCTAAAATTGCTTAATGTAGCTGGAGTTGTTTTGGTGCTAAATGTATGTTAAATATTTAGCTACTGACTTCACAACCCAGTTCACTCTGGCAAAGCCAGAGCACGCATTATGTTAAAGACATAAACATTGGGGAAGATATCCAAATAGTGTCTTTTTTTTTTTTTTTTTTTTTTTAGGTTTCAAATCGGTCCGATTTTATTACAATATCTTTCCAATTTGTATTTTCTGACAGTTTCTTTTATTTTGCACCTATGTGATGATGAACTATCAAATAAGTAATAGCTAGGGCTGCATATACAACGTTATTTAACTCATAAATGGCAGAGAATTAAGCAGTGATTTAACTCACAAATGGCAGGAGTATGATCTATACACCAAAACTGCTTCATTAAGCTAAAGTGGTTTTGGTGCTTAGAGTGTCCTTTTAATTGAAACCTCAACATTACATGGAAAGTGTTAACATACCTTATAATGTGACTTACACATTTTCAATACTTTATTTCGTTTTTTTTTTCCAGAGAAGTAACGGTTTTAAAAGAATCAAAGCCCACCCCATAATGTGTGATAGGCATTATGGATTATGTCGATAAAAACTCCAAGCGATAATGTTGCAAACAATGAACAATAGAAGGATTACAAAAAAAACAAAAGACATCACACAAAAGTCTGTTTATTAACCCATCTCATCAAAACATCAAGAATAAATTACAGCATTAAATTACCATCTGCATAATATTATTACTTTTATATTCAGTACTTTACAAAACCAGTACAATATTTTTTTCTTATATAATGCAAATCCAAAAATATATATATATATATAGATATCTGTTTAGAGGGGTGGAGCGATGGCGTGGAGCAGCGGTCTCCATTCATGGGAGCTATCCCACATGTAACCCTTAATTATCAACAGCTGCACAAAGAAAAAATGAATATCTACTGCCCTTATCCCCTTCCCTGCTATGTTTTAACAATGCCTTACTCTGTACCTATTTACCAGGAGAATTGATGCTGCTTTATAAATCTGACTCTCTTGGTTGCATTGCCCCTTTCAATATCACTGGATCAGTAATCATTCAGTTCAGTTAAACTGTTTCGATTAAAAAAACTATTTTATTGTGGACACAGGTGGATTAATTCAGTTGTTTGATGTCCTATTGAGGAAACACCCAGGGGTTTATTTACTAGAAAAGTGAGCTGACAACTGATTTGCAAAATGTAGGCATAAAAAAGCTAAATGATTTAATTCAATCACAGTGATTCCTATGGGATCCCTTCCATGATTTATTAACTGAATCCTCACGGTAATGTGGCAATTCTATGATATTATGATTAGGTCCATTGAAATGCGTTAGAAAGAAGCTATTATACCTCCAAGCCTTTGGATGGATGCTTCATCAGATGTAATGCAAGATTATCCTATCGATTAACCGCTCTCTATCTGACTGGGCTCCAAAGTTAAAATGTATAAATTCTACATCTTGCCAAAAGCGGTCTTAGAAAACATGTATCGGGATAAAAAAATAAAATAAAATTGAGCAACAACTCAATGTTTAGTGTGAACAAAAATAAAAAAAAGGTCTGATTCTAAAACAAATGTTCCCGACTTGCAATGCTCTAAAGCAGGGGTAAGCGACCTTCGACACTCCAGATATGTTGGACTATATCTCCCCGTTGCTTTGGCAGTACTGTGACTGTAAGCGCATTATGGGAGATGTAATCCAGAACATCTAGTGTGCCGAATGTTGCTTAACCCTGCTCCTGAATAGTAGTTATATTGTATTCATATTTTAACTGCTAATCTCACAGGAGACCTTGATAGTTGATATTCACCATCTCTGTCTAACTTTAATAACCTATTTTATACATCAGATTATTCCAGTAATGAATGCGCTATTTTGATTGTGGTATAGCAATAATGGCTAAACTTGTCACTCCAGACGTATGCCAACTACATTTTTTCCTGCATGCCTCCCTGCATGATTAGCTCAAATCTCCAGTCCCAAGGTTAGCCATCGCTGCTAAACAGCGTACTTAAAATATTCATACAACTGATAATTATGCCGGAGGACGGTGTTTTTAAATAAGACCCTTTAAAACCTTGCTGCCTGTGTTGGCAGCTCTCACATAAGTACAGATAGATCTGTCAGAATTACTAAAGCATTGCTTAATCCACTTGCTTTGATATATGAGGAGGCCTTGAAAACCTGTACACTTTGAGATGCTGGAGAACTGGTTTGGAATACCAATCTTCAAATCAGCTGCCTCATACTAATGCAGCACTAAAGAAAATCTATCAGAATGTTCCTCTTGGAAGATGCAGATTCTACATTCCCTCATATGCTTCATTAAGTAACCACTTGTACACAGGATGCACACCTGGGTTAATGTAGAATATGGCACAAAAAAAGTATCATAAATCCCTTTCCCCTTTAACAACACACATCAAATGTCCCGTCCTATACCACCAGATTGCATTCATTTTACTTCTATTCTTGGACCAGATTCTCAGTTTATTATGAAACTCTGTTGCACATTTTTCACATTGCAATAAGGTGATTTATCTGGAACTCTGCCACGCAAATAAACCATGAAATAACTTGATAGATTATACAATTTTTTTTAACCCATACATTCAACTAGCTACATTACAAGCAAAATGTATAGATCAACCTCTCACAAGCTACAGTGGATGCACGTGAACCCTCTTCCTTCCATTTTGCTAAATGCAGTATCGGATCATTCTTAAAATTGTCACTACATATTATTATTGATTGAGACGTGTCTTGGTTTGCAATTGAAGATGGAGGAGAAACAAGCACATCTGCTCCACCCAATCAGTCAGTGACTTGGAGATGGCAAAAAAAAAACAATATTTTTAAATCTATACAATTTGCTGGCAATTTCACTTGCAGATCACATAGCGTTGAAAATTAAATCTATTTTTTTTAGATAGTGTTTGATTTTATCATGACTACACTCCCAACACAGGGAATGTCTGGTCACCCATTTATTTAAAAAAAAAATCATGCTTGCTTAGGAAAGATGGTAAGATTTTTGAGTCAATGTGCTAAGACAAGTTGGAGCAATGTATGACATGGATATAGCTGGGGTGATAGGAGTAGTAATATAAACAGCAGGAAAAATGCAGGTTGCCACGGCATGATACTTGTAAGGTAGGACACAGAGTGAAGCATTTCCCTTCCAATAAATTATGTATAAATACAATTAATTTATACCTCCATATTTACTGTTAGAATTATCAAAATAGTGGCCATCGCCAGCCCTTTAAAAATGGCAGCTAACTCTGACATTTTGATAATCTGTAAATATATTCTAGTGAATTATTTGAAAATTAAAATTAGGATAGGTCAAATTCAGCACAAAAGGTCTTTAAAAGGACACTCCAGGCCTCTAAAGCACTCCAGCTTATTGAAGTGCTTTAGGAGTAATGTCCCATACCGCTCAAGCAAAATTGGCAATTTTATAAATCTCTTTAGTTACACCTCTCAGCATTGACACAGACACCTGGGAGGGTTTCCTACCACACTCACCTTTCAAAATGGAAGGGAGTGCTTAATATAGAGAAGCACTGGTTCCAATGCTTCTCTATGAGAGGCGTTTTGGGAAGATTGCAATACACTGTGTGTCCCGAAGATTCTGATTCAGTAATAATGACTTCACAGGAGGCACAATAGAGCTGCCCCAAGGAGGCTCTGGAATAAAGTGAATACTTTTCAAGCAACCTATTTCGTTACCCGTACTTATTCCATTTGTGTCACTTTACCCCACTCCCTCTATCATGTAAGCTCATTGAGCAGGGCTCTCAATCCCTCTGTTCCTGTGCGTCCATTGGTCTGGTTACAATTACGTGCCTGTTAGTCCACCCATTGTACAGCGCTACGGAATTTGCTGGTGCTATATAAATAATAAAATAATAATAATAGAGTTTCGTTACTTTTAACTATTTCAATGGAGGAAAGTGGCAGTAATATAAACACAAATAGGAATGTTCCAATTATATATATTTAAAAAAAAACAAAAAACTTTTTGTTTTGTTTTAAATTGAGTGTTCCTTTGTGTGCATGTCTTTGTTCTTCATGCCATTGTGATCGCTTGTGGATCACTTTATACTCCATGACCTTAAAACCTGGCATCCTGAGAAACAATTAACAGAATTGAGAAGTATCTGTTCTACAGTTAGTGGTTACTTATCATTCTACTCCTTGTAACTGAGCCCATGCTGTAACAGGACACTGCCTTCAGCACTTTAACAATATAAATCAAAGACCACAAAAGGTGAAATGGTAGAAAAACTTTGAGAAAGAAATAGACATAACAATAAAATATGACTGATATATTTTGAAGATGTATTTAACTGGTTTAACTCCATGGCTAGTGCTCAAAATTATGTCCGAATTCTATTTCAGTGGCTCCCCAAGGGGCTAGAACAGGCAATTCATATCTATCAGGCCCTGCACAAAACAGATTGTTTACTGTGAATGCAAAGCCTTCCAAAGTGCATCCAGAAATTATGGATCATCAGAAGAGTAAAATTAAGGTGTTTCGCATAATTAATTTTTTAAAGGGTCATTGGGCTAATTTAAAAAATAAATAAAGAATGAATGGTTTGCAAGCTAATGCCATTCACATAATACCTGTATTTAAAAAACAAACATTAAAAACCAGCAGCATGTCATCTGATCAATAGTGATTGCATTTTACTGTATTTATATTTAATTATCCAGCCATAAACATGTAATTTAGTCCATTCAAGGTAGGTGGCCACACTGCTATTTTAAATCACACACAAAACCACAGCTCAGGGTTGTAGTATATAAAATGTTGATGGTTGATGGTATTCATGCACAGGTGTCAGGTTATTCACTTAATTGTGAAATGTCAGGAATTCATAGTGAATTTTAAATTGTAGGCCAAAATAGCATAATTCGAATCATAGCTGACTACTGCAATTTAGCGAATTTGAGCTGAACATTTCCAATAACCTTTGAACTACCTGTGATTTCATGACACTTTACAGTTTAGTAAACCTCTGATGATCTGGTTTAAAATGGATCTCTAAAATCCTCATGAGAAGGCGGTATATTATTATTGCCATTTATATAGCGCCAACAGATTCCACAGCGCTTTACAATATTATACAATATATGCAGAACATGCAATGTAGTGCTATGATAATTCAGCTAGGTGGGAATAGAGTTGCTCTATGTTCTAAGACAGGGGTGCCCAAAAAGTATATCCCCGGATGTTTTGAAACTGCAGCTTCCATGATGCGTTGTCATTCTAAAGGCATGCAAAGCATTAAAGGAGTTGTAGTTCTACAACATCTGGGGGCTACCTTTTAGGTACGTCTGTTCTAAAATGTACTGTTTAAATCTGCCATTTAAAATTTGTTTGTTTTTTAAAAACAAATTAGAAATAAAAAAAATGATGTACCCCATAGATTGAGAGACAAATATTGGCACTTCTGCCTCTGAAGGTGCATCATCTCAGCAGCTGTAGTTTACAGTACCCGGAGTGTTGCCTTACACTGTACTTGGTCATGCATTTCTGCCTGGGTGTCAAACTGTTGGTCTCCTGCTGTCAATTGAACTACAACTCCTATAACACAATTCCAGAAGCTACTGGCTTTACATTATTGGCTTTTATATATTCCAACTCCCATCTATGCAGCCAGCCTTTGACACTTTCAGAGAATTCTGATACAGCTGCTGGGCTTGCCATGTGGCTCCTTTAATACAATGCACTTCTGGCCATGTGCCCAATACCCCTTTAACCCCTTAAGGACACATGGCATATGTGACATGTCATGATTCCCTTTTATTCCAGAAGTTTGGTACTTAAGGGGTTAAAGGAATTATTCACTAAATGAATTTATGATGAATGAACAACTGAATTACAACATTTTGGTAAACATAACACAAGTGGGTTGATTCACTGACAAAGTTACTTTAAATTGAATTTTGTTTGCCAACATCTTATTCGCTAGTTGTCAATTCAACACAATTAACTGATTTATAATTTTTTTTAAATCCCTAAATGAAAAAAAGAGAACAGCTGAGGTCCACCCTTTCTACATACCACACATTTTCCCTTTTATTCTGTGTACCACATGAACTACCGATTTTCTGCCTCAATGCATTTTCACTTGCCCTTTGGGTTAGGAGATTTAAATGATTTGGAGAACTAGGAGGCACTAAAGATCTGAGACCTCCACAAAGTAGCTATTAGACCCCTACAGTGGCTAGTGAATTAAAGCTCATCTTTCACTTTAAGCATATTGTGCTCTGTCCCTAAATGTAAGTCCTTTAAATTTTTAATTAAGCGATTGCTCCTTTTCAGTTAGGCTGGGTGAGCGGAGGCGGTAATGCCAAGGAATGTTTAATCTCTGCAGGTTATCATAATTTTTGTTTTTGCCCTGGGTGTATTCATCAGCTACCACTTCTGAAAAGCATCTATTTATTCAATTCTCCACAATCAACGCTACACTTCGGTTTTATAACGCTTCTACAAGACAGAAGTGTAGCCTTGTTTGTGACGCTGTAAATAAAAGCAATTTTTCCTGTATTCTTATTGTCTTGCTTTTAATTTATTTACTTTAGTTTTTTATAAATAGCCAACCAACACCAACTAAGTATCTGGGAGAATAACAAATCAAGCTAATGTATTTAGGAGCTAGTCCCTGGGCAGCAGTAAATATTTACTATTTTAAAATGCTGAGAATCTAACCCACTTCACTTATTCAGGGAAACGCAGATAGACATCTTCTAGCCATTTATCCAACGCAGATTACAGCTCCTAAAATGCTTCGCTAGTTGACAAGTGTTGTATTTAAGTGCCAGGTGTTGAATTCCCTTATCTGCAAATCACAACTATTTAGCAAGCTTTGGCTGTGCTTAGAATATACTATGGTGTTTATAGCCAACACATATTCTGCAATGTAGAAGATGCAGCCGTTTACCATAGATGCATGATTGTTTTACTGTTAAAATGAAATACAAAAACTACATTTAACTACTTCTGCACCAAAGACAATGCACTATTATTCCCTTTCAGTTCTTAAATAGTTATTAGATGTTGCCCTTGGTGGCATGTAATAATATCCCAAATACATTAACAAGTGATACAGGGTATATGGTCTCATTGGCAGCGACAGAGCTATTTAAATAAAGTTATACTGACATTTAATGTGACCCTAATTCAATGTACCTTTATCAATGTGAGTCATGAAGGGAGAGGGGTTGGTAGACCTGAAACTGGACATAATTCCACCTCTGAGTAGTGAATTAATGAATTTCCATTCATAACTCAGCTGTGTCCACAACAAATGCACTCCCCCTTATACCAGTTATTGCATTGCACTTATATATAGTAACAATTCCCTGCTTGGCTGGAGAACCTTTATGTGTTGGTTAACACATTCCTTTCTGTGTACATGCATTCCTGTCCAATAAGCGTATTCTGTCAGCTACCAGCCACTCCAAAAAAACAAACACTTAACACCTTTCTTTCTCATTTCAGTAGCAAGGAATATCAGCGTCCTGCAATGCAATGCAGCATAAGAACAGATTTGAAATTTTAGAAAAGAGACTGAGATAAACTGTAAAGTGTGTCTTTTTGAGTTCTGTGAGCTTGGTGAGAGGGGGCAACACTCCAAAAAGAGCTGTATTATGGGCTCAGTGTTCAAAAGAAAAGCAGCCAAGAGCAAAGGGGTATTTAGGCAAATGAAAGACCCAGCATAAAGCACACTAAAAGGACATCACTTTCCAGAATGCCATTACTGCTAGAGTGCTTCAGGTTCATAACCTGTTTCTCAAATATGTTGCACAGCAAATTCTTAATTTTCTTTAGTGCTGCTGAATCAAATAACCCTTCCCCACAAGAGAGTGACTCCACTTAGAAAAGCCTGTACTCTATCAGTTTAAACAAGTTTCATTAAACCTGCTTATGAAAGTGTATTTACCAATTTAGGGCTGAATTGAAACATTCTATCCCTTTAGTTATTTTTCCCATGTGCTTCATACATGTGTTGGGGTGTCCATGAAGGGGCCAGACTTGGCAACTTGTAGAGTCAGTGGGGGCGATTTGTAAGGACAGCTCCCCAAGCTACAGGGAACCACACCACGAGGCTTCCCTTGAGTCCTTGCACCTACTACTCCAAGCCGCCGTTGACACAATATGCCTTGCCAGGCTTGCAGAGTCTTAGAGCTCCATACCCATACCCCGCTGGTAATGCCCACCGCCAATGACATGAAAATCTTAAGCATGAAGACTGCTACACTGGGAATGGACCGGGGTAAGGTACAGTCCGGTCTGCCACTTACAGTTGTTGTCCTACAGGTTTCCTCACGAGCCCTGGATTCCCAGTGAGCTAAGTTGAGGCGCTCATAGAAGCAACAGACAATGATGCAGGTAGCAGGGACTGTATAGAGGATAGAGAATACCCCAATCTTAACCATAAGCTTTTCCAGTTTCTCTGTGTTGGTACCCCCAGTCTTCATTACTCGTCGGATGTGGAAAAGGGCAACAAAGCCAGTCAGGAGGAATGATGTGCCTGTAACCAAGTAACAGGACAGTGGCACTAGGACAAAGCCAGTAAGGGCACTTGGATCAGACCCACCAACATAGCAGAGTCCAGTCAGCTCATCTCCCCCTACTTTCCGCATAGTGAGAATAATTATGGTTTTTACAGCTGGAACTCCCCAAGCAGCCAGGTGGAAATAGCTACCATGTGATTCAATGGCCTCATGACCCCATTTTTTGCTGGCTGCAAGGAACCAGGTGAGAGTCAGCACAACCCACCAAAGAGAACTGGCCATGCCAAAATAATAAAGGATTAGGAAAACCAGCGTACAACCACTGCTCTCCAGGCCTTCTCTGATTAGGTAGGGAGCTCCCCCTTCACGGTCGCAGGCTATGCTGGGGGCGCCAGCAGCAGCACGGATGAGGAATGCAGTGGAATAGACATTGTAGCACATGCTGAGAAAGATGATGGGCCTCTCAGGATACTGAAACCGCTGGGGATGTAGAAGGAAAGTCAGGACTGTGAAGGCAGTTGAGATGAAGCATAGGCCAGACCAGGCTGCCATCCATACAAGAGCAAAATCTTTGTCACCTGATGACCAATAGACATCCACACCAGGATTGCACCTTGGGGCACAAACTCCACTCCTCTCCACATAGAGGAACTTGTCGGGGTTAGCACACCGGCTGGGAACGCCAATCCCAGCACCTGATGGACGTGGAGGACGTGGAGCCACAGGGAGCATACCTTGTCCATTATTTGGTGGGTCACTACCTGTGGCATTCTCAGGGGCTTCCATGCAGAGGGCATTAGGGTCATTTTTGCTGGGAAGCCGGGAGCAGTCCAGTGACTCAGGCCATCCAAAGTTGAAGCGTTCCATTATGGGGGCACACTTAAGCCTGGCAGATTCACACATGGGTTTACAAGCTGGGATTGAAGATGACACCTGCTCTGTGCACATGGGGGCATAGAGAGAGCAGAGGAAGAAGCGGAGGTGTACGTGACACCCATACTCAACAAGAGGGGCGAACTCTTGCAGCTTCACCCCTGCCTCTGCCTGGGACTCATGGCCTACATAATTGGGCATTCTGGTCATGTTGTAGCCAATGCCCTGGCACATGGGAATCTGAATGGGCTCACACTTGGCTTCCCTCCCCCTCTCCACGTCGTAGAGACCCATCTCCAGCGTCCGGGCTAATGCCAGCAGCTGCCACAGAAATGAAAGCGTAAAAAACCAGCAGACACGGATCATTCTCATGGGCTGAAAAACTTGTGCACAGGCAGAGATGCAACAACTGTAAGTGACGGCGAGAAAAGGGGGGGAGAATGGTTACAGACACACGACTTTATATCCAGCTGTCCGTTATAAGCAGGGCACAATGCATTCCAGAAGAGCAGCGTTCGGGATCAGCTTTCTCTCCTTACAACCAGGTCATGGAGGACACAAATTGCAATTTTGTGTTTTTAGAACAATCCTTCCATATTCTAACAGTCACGATGAAGAACAGAGCCTGCAAATGCACCGCTGAGAAAGAAGAAGTCTTTTGGTAATTTCAAAGAACTGGATTCAGCCTTAGATACATTTTATATTCCACGAGAACACAGAGTGCCCTTTACAAAAACGCATGGCAGTTCTGGTCTCGTTCTCAGCCTGTCCGTCTCGCTGGCAATTTGCAGCTGAAAGCACTGCCAGCCTTTCACTTCCCAGCTTTAGTGAGGGTGTCTATCCAGGAGCTGGTGGTCTCCAGTGAGATATTTAGCACAAGTGCAGCTCTCCTCCTCCCTGTCTGCCACTGGGAAATGTTGTGAAACAATGCAAGGCTGGGAAGCTTCTGAGAGCAAGAGAGTGACAAGGAGGGAAGAGGTTATAGACACACAGAGAGAACAGAAACATGAGCAGCGGGGTAAGGATAAAAAAAACAAAAAAGCCAGACAGAGTGTTAACACATAAAAAGGGCACAGAGGGTTAAGGACAGACACATTTTGCAGACAGATCCCGCCCAGCCTGCACGTAGGGGAGGGTATCACAGTTACTGCTGGGAGCTGTGGCTACTGCTGACACTAAGCATGCTATGGACTTCTTAGCAGATGCATCACAAAAGGGGAGTGGCCAGCCTCATAACCATGCCCACATCTGTTAAAGGGGCAAGGCCTGGTTAAAGAAACAGTGCCCTCATTAACGAAAACTGAATGGCAATTTGCAAAATTGCAAGAATAATATTTTCCAAGTCATGTCACCCCCTGTTGGCAGCCATAACAAAGCCAGGCTTTCTGCTGCTTCAGCGAGCAAGATATATATACACACACATCCCTCTCTATATATAATCTACATATCTTTGTAAAGGAGGGGTTGGGAGGTGGGTATGGGGGGGAAATTACACACAAACCTTGTTGATTTGAAATAGCAAAAGGAAAAATCTTGGGTTACATTTTGAAACCGCATGGAATAAGAAGCTCAGTGTTTCTCGCTCATTTCTGAACAAGTCGTGTTTTGTGCTTCGCTGAAACCTCTGCATAGCATTTATTTTAATAAACATCTGAAATCCTGGAGTTTTGGCAGAAGGGAAGACTAATACAAAGACACACGCTCCTCTTAGAAATTCACAGTCCTACACTTGTGCTATACATTCACTCCCACACACTACTGTATTCACATATTCCTTTTGTGCAAAGTAGGTTCACATAGAGCCTTACACAGGCAACACATTTGTATTAAATATTTTATCAATATGTCTTTTATGGTTTTAAGCAGAAACACATTTCAATTTACATTCATCTTTATATACGTAGGCATACTTCTGTGTACTCATCCACAAAGCAACCGGACTCAAATTAGGAATCAAATGGTAAACGAACGAAAACATTGGTGTTTAATTAATAAACAAATTGTAGCGAATTGAAAACCAAAATGTAAAATGTAGGCAAAAAGTGCGGTCTTGGAATAATTCTCTATCTCCATTATAGATATGTTAAATATTTCCTCGGATTTGCTATGGCTCCTAATAGTTTGTAATTTGGATTTCAGTTTACTGTAATTCATTGTTTAGTGAATAAGCCCCTTTGCACAATTTTCCCAACTTTCACTGCCAGCTAGTTTCAACCTTTTGGCTAGGTCATGCATTCTGTATCATACACCAGTTATTTGATATTATTGCTCAATATCAGATGATCGCATCTTTTACAATAAGTACTTTCTCGTCTCAGTATTTTGTACTTTGTTATGGAAAATCTTCAGTAAAATAATAAATACATTAAGTGTGAAATATGTAGCAAAACAATTCAGTGATCACTCCTGTGGCACTTAAAGGGTCAATCACTGCCAACGGAAGTAAACACTATTTTTAAGGTGCTGTGACTTAAAAATAGCATTTGGCTTAGTACATCAACCCGAGCACTTCTAAATCTACAAACCCCTCACAGAGCTCCTGACTGTACACAACATGCGGACACCTTTATATCTAAAACACATACGTGCTTTAATGAATTTACTAAGATAGATTATATTTATTGAATTTAAATTTCTAATTTTATTTCTACATATTGAAAAAATAACAAAAATTATAACATTTTCAGTTGTTTGCAGGCAGTCCCGTTGTGGCTGTATTAGTTTTGATTGCCACTTATAAACAAATCATATTCTTTTCTCAAACCATTAATCCAGTGCTGATATTCTAATTATACAAACCAATCTTACTCTTAGCACAGACTTCTCAACTGAGTGACAGTCATAAAGGTGCAATATGTTTGTATATGAGGATGCAGTTTATCTTGTTAAACTTTGGAATGCTGATGTATAATATCAAACACTTCATATGGCCAAAAAGGGACGCCTTTAATCTGTAGGATTTGTCTAGGGGGCAGTACATTACTGAGAATTACTCACCGCTTGACCTTTTGAAGAATATGTAATTTAGAACAACTAGCAACTAATATTTTACCCTCATAAACTGATATATAAAACCAGTTAGTGCAATTTAAACATATGTTACAGGAAGACTATCAAACATAATGACCCACTGTAACGGAGCGCCTGTACCCAGAGTAGTACCTCCACTCCCAGGTCTCGTAGTGAAGCAGTGATTATAACTCCCACATATCCAAACATCAGTCGATACTTGATGAAGGGTACAAAATGAACTGGTTTATTCAGCCAAAAGTACACACATTTATACACAGACCCCCAGCATGGGGTCTCTATTCAGGAACACTTAAGCCTGCCCAGGCATCTCTCTATCTGGGAGACAATTGAGTTGATAACCGGTAAGCTAATTATCTCCCAGACACAGAGAGCTGAACACAGAACATACCCCAAAAAACACCAATTGAACATGACGTATCCCCACACATTATATATCATTTTAAAGGGGAAAATAGCGCTCTGATTCATGCATAATTGGCCGAACAGCATCTATCCCTCCCACTTCATCCTCTATTCCCCCCACTTGCAGCCCATACCCCCAACTACAGCCCCTAACTCCTCTTTTATACCCTATAACCCCAATATTACCCCTAACAACCCTTTTGCAGCCAATGCCCTGATTACAGTCCTTTCCTCCCATTAAAGTCCCATATCCTCCGAACTACAGCCCCTCTCTTCCAATTGCCGCCCATATTTAGCCCACTACAGCCCCTTTCCCCAATTGCAGGGTTAAATCCTGGGTGATTGGTTGGGCGTCATATCTCTGTAAAAAATGGGAGCTCCCTGATGGTTTCAGGGAGCGATTGTTCACTTCCCTGGACACAAGCTTCTCTCCAAAAACTGCTATTCTGAGTCACTGGGAAAGTGGGGAAAATGGAGGTCCAAGATGTTCGGGAAAACCTGCAATATGTGGCTGGGTCAGAGTTCCAGAACGGTTGTAGGTTAGTCTCGATCATAGCGTCTGGGCACTCCGGCTCTCAGTGAATGGGAGAAAGGGAAGGCAACTGGACAGGGAGGGAGGAGCCCAGGGGATCATAGTCTTTCAGGACTGAGTTCATCAAACCCACCAAGTTTAGGTATCCAGTCTGGAAAGCATTGGAACAGAGGTCCATTGCTGTGTGAGTGGGTGTTTGTTGCACCATGTATATGAGATGTGGGTCTCTGACACTTGGGAGTGAGTTTTTCTTTGGTGTTCTTGTGGTAGTGACTTTATTACACAGCTCATGCCACTTGGCCGATCAGTGCCATGAAGGTAGGATGAAACGGACATAGATAGGGCAGTGTTAATCACACATTATAAATGCTTCCAAGAAAGGGATGGCTCCTGGACACCAGGAAGAGTCCTGATTTACCAACAGTGGAGGGATGACCCCAAGAAACGCTAGAGAGCATAACTTTGCTAGTTGATTAGTGTGCCACCTTAAAACACTAAAATGCAATTTTCACCTACTGGGTTCAGGATTAGAGGTATTTGGGACATGGGTTATGGATAACATGGGGTACCAAGGGATGTTGGTAATAGTGGGCAGTGATCAAAGTTTGGTTGGTGAGTGATATTAGTATCCCGGAGTGTGGGAACACAGGCTAGTGGTAGAAGGGCCAGTGCCTCACTTGGGATGTGTGTTGCTCTGGGCATTGCTATTGTGGAAGCTATTAGGCAGTTCTAGCACAGGCTTTTGTGTGCGGAGTATTGCTCTTAGAAGCTCTGCGAGAGCCAATCTCAGATTGTCCGTGGAAGTGGATGCTGGGAAATTATGTCATATCTTGGTACCCTTATCCAGTGCTATCTCAGAGAGAGATAACTGGAGTGAAGGTTGGGCTGGGCACTCTCCACTCTATTCCTCCTTCCTCATGTAGCAGGTATGCAGGAGATAGAGGGATATTACAATTCTATGTTAGTGTATGTGCGTTAGCACGTTTTGTCTATATGTTAGTGTCAGTCTGAGTATGAGTACTATTATTATTGGCATTTATATAGCACCAACAGATTCTGTAGTGCTTTACAATATTATAAGAGGGGGGGATTTAACTATAAATAGGACAATTACGAAAAAAACTTACAGGAACGATAGATTGAAGAGGACCCTGCTCAAACGAGCTTACAGTCTATGTAAGTTAGAGTGTGTCTATGTAAGTTAGAGTGTGTCTATGTATTTATTTTATAGAGTGTTTGTATGCATGTACAACTGTGTCTATGATTACATAGCTCCCAATATTGGCATGGATTAGGGTTGCAGTTGGGCTGGCCTTCATTGGGGTATTGACAATATAGGACCATGCAGAGAGCACTGCTGAAGAACTCCCTGCATCGTCCTAATGACTGCTGCACAGTGTGAGCACATCTAATGATGCACATGCACTATACTGCCTGAGGACAGTTCCCTGGTGTCCCCAGATCCAGAAAACCAGGGAACTAGATTGGGATGGCAGGACAGGACTATGATATAGGGACTGTCCTGCTGAAAGTGGGACAGTTGGGAGGCCTGTGATTTTATTGTATGTCTGTGTATATATGTTAGGATGTGTCTGTGTATGCATGCTCTTGTGTCTACATGTATCTGTATGTGTGAGCACGATGCCAATTAGGTTGTGGTGTGTGACATTATGTAAATGTTTAAGTTATAATAGCTAATTACATGTATTTGAATAGAGAACTTAAAGTCTAATTAGAAGTTTATAAATGCCTGATTATGAAAGTGTGTGAATGTAAGTGGCCTGGCATTTTTTTTCCAGGTAAGTGGAAAGGATGGCTCTGAGTGTGCTTGGTGCATTGTGGAGGGAGTGATCAAATAATGTTCTTTTTAGCATATTAGAGTATTTACATTGTATGAGTAATAATACACACACACACACATTAAAAATCCTAAAATATATTAATGCATATAAATTGTAGCTATACAATAGTGCTCTGGATAAGAATTGCTAAATAAAATAAATTACAATACAAACATAACTCATACAAAATAGACATTCTGCTTATAATTCTGTGTCTCTCAGAAGTCCCCCAGGAAGGACCCACTAATCATCCAGCGGCAGGCAATAATTACAGGCAAACTGTCAGCAGGTCTTCACTTAAATCATGCACAGGCAGGTAGCAGCAGATGGTAGGAAAGCTGTCCTGGCAAATATCAAACAGGAAAGCTACAGGGGCCAGGCGGTAAGGCAAGAGGGCGGAGGACGTGAGACTCCTGGCAGGATGGAGGGGCTACGCGTATGTTATAATTAGTCATGTGCAAGTGGGTCCATAATGTGAGGACAGGTAGATCAGGCAGAAAAAAGGCACCATTTTCAAAACCTCCTGGTAATAGTGTTCACATCAATGCAAAACTTGACGTAGTACTAGAATCAGAGAGAGAGAACTTTACTTGAAACCATAAAACTACCTCCCATTTCACCGGCAGAGAGGCTACCAGGTGCTATTGCCAGGACAGCGGAGGGATGGTTACACTCTTGCTATTCAAAAAAAGAGCAGAGGGAACCTCTTCTGATGGGCTACGTGGCTGCACTTATTGTGTGTTTGGCACTTTCACCATCTATATTCTATACAGTAGTGTGCTTCAGTCGCCTCTAATAAAATTAGTTTGTTAATGGCAGGCTGGTGCTCCTGTATTAGCCCATATATCACAGTAATCTGCCCTTTAGTGAGTAGAAAGCTAAGGTGTCCTGATGGTTTGCGCCCCAGGTATACCCATGTCAGCCTGTCACAGCCCTCAATAGTGAGATGCAGGGGAGCAATGGTTACCATGGAATTAACATTATCTGGTTCAGTTCTCCTAATCAACATGTAACAGCCTTAGAGTGGATCTTATTGGGCCATGACATATAGCATACAGTATATCTCAGTGCAGCTGATAACATACAGTGCAATCCTATATCATATCAGAACAAAAATCAAGCCATGAAGTCAAACGTACTACCTGCAGAGTTTTGAGACATTACCCTCTCTCTAAGCACAGTAATCCTTCTATAACATTATGTGCAATACACCTTTGCAGTCAGCAGCATTTTTCGAAGTATAAAAAAAAAAAAAAAAAAACAACTAACAACATACATCATGTCTAATAACATGGAATAACTCCCACCATAGTTAGGCCCCCCGCTACTAACTTTGCGAAAGGTATGTATTATCCCAGAGCATCAAGGTGCTCAGATTTTGTTCCCAGTCCCGATGGTAAATTTTGCAGCTATAAACATATTAGTGGCTGTTCTTGCACAGCCTTGCATGCAATGAAAAATGATTTTTGAGAAACTAAAAATGTTTTCATTGAAGGGTTAAGTCCTCCTCTGGTAGCTGTTAGTATGTCAGCCACTAGAGGCGCTTCCACAGCAGAGACCGAGCAAAACTCAGTCATGTGATGCAAAGACCCCATGGGAAAGCATTTATTCAATGATTTCCTATATGAAAGTTTGAATACTTGGCCCACATACACATTATGTCTCCTCTGTGAGGAGCATCGCGTTGGACGGTGCCCAAGGAAGTCCTACATCCTCCATGACATTGCAGGAGGAAGAGAGGGAAGCAGAGTCAAGAAAGCCTGGAAAAAGGTAAGTGAATCTTATTTTTTTTTTCTAATTTTTATGCCAAACAGGGGGGAGGGAGGAACCTGTTAAAGATAGGGAGATGGACACTAACTTAAGTTTATATTCCTTATCTACAGTGTTCCTTTAATAATACCCTAAAGAAAAAAAGAAGAAAAATGTCCATCGTGTATGTGTGCAAGTTTTGTTTGTGAAATGGTCACTATAGTTAACAGGAAATGCAGCAAGGTAATGCAGCAGGTAAGTGTGTTTCTACTTGTCTTAACTTCGCATCTCACCCATACCTCCCAACTTTTCATGTTTAGGAGGAACAGTCCCAGTTTTGGGCTGTCCCTGTTTTAGTACGAGCTCCATATTGCTGATGTCAGTGTTTAACAGAGCTCCCCACAGCAATAATACTCATAGTAATGAGCCTTTAAACTGCAATAAAATGTTTTTAGAAATCAGTCTGTGTAAATATGATATATTCTCTTCTTCTAAATTTGAAGTTGCATTTTAGTTGTCTAAATTGAAATTAGAAAGTCACCGAAACTTTCTCAGAACCGTCCTGACCTTGACCATAATGCCAGTCACAGCACTAAAATTAAAGTGTCTATTTGTCCATTTAAAAAGTTGGGAAGTATGTCTCACCTCAGGACACGCTTTAATAGAATTTACTGCTGTGAGTTGAAATGTTACTGTTACATAAAGAAAGAGGGAATACCAAACCAGTAAGACCACATAGATTGTGAGAGTTAATTTAATATAATTATTTGTATACTAAACCTAGCGTAATCTACAATCTTAATTTTAGTAGTGGCCTCTCTGTACTGTAAATATTTTGCTAACTCTGTCTTCATAAAAGAAATCCATAAAAATAAGCGAACTAATCAAAAACATAAAATAGGTATATGAGGTGATGTGACCTTAAACACCTCCTCCTTCTTTAACGCAAAGTGAACAGAACAGGAACCTGAACAAATAACATGAAACCGTCCCGGGATAACCTCCTAGAGTCC